TGTTGTATCGATGCTGGAGACGGTAGATCGTGGTAATGGTGACATTAAAGTGACGGGCAACATCTGGGACAGACTCTCCAGCTTCCAACGGTCCGATAGCCTGCTTCCTCTCAAGTTGATTTAAAAGTGGCATTGTTGAACAAAGAGTGACTGGCCAAAGATTTGGCTCAGTTTTATGCCCACTGAAGATGGTGATAACTCGTGCATGGTTGATTGCATGAGGAAAATGTGCATGATGCGGTGCATTCTGGCGATTCGTTTTTTTTCTTCTGTTCCCACACTGGCTTTGCAAAACGCAACAGAAAATGTTAACAACACCATCAACCATCATTATTTACCAACGCTGTTATAATTTTAGGGGTCTGAAGCACCTTTGCGTAAGAAACTTGCGTTTCTTTTGCGTGTGAGTATAGTTTTACATTTCTGAGTATAGTTTTACATTTCTGAAGACATTCATTATTTCATATTGAGCGCGCAGTTTCTTCTGCAAAGCAATGATAAAAGCTACTTTCCATGCTTGGTACAGACGGATCTTTGAAATTTTGAGCAAAGGTGTTATATATACTTTCTGCGTTATTGTTTGTATGATTCTTGACACTATTCTGCTGACAAGACCTGTAGCTCGTTTATACTCTATTGTAAGCTTAAATATTCATGTACATCTATTTCCGCTGCCTGGGGGATTTCTGTTAATCTATGATCTATGAGACTTTGCTTACATTGACCATGTCGTGTTCTAAGATACGTGTAGCTTCTTTGTATCTAGTATAGTACACATTATTTCTATCATGTACATTCCCATTCTTAACCCAAACCTTTCGTCTAATGCACATATCATCATGTAGTATTTATAGTCAACGTTGTTTATTGTTTGGTCAGTGGAGTGATCTGTTTCGTCTGAACGTTGTTTCTTGGACGAGAAGAACCAGCTTGTTGTGACATGATGAAAACATCACGATTTAGCACCCGACCCATCATAGAGTGTCACCAAGGACGGTGTCAAATAGCACCGGAGATCCATGATGCCGACACCAGAGATACTGGGGTGTTATTATTCAGAGAACATGACACAAATAACTGTATTTATCTTCCAGTGTAATGTCAGACTGGTTCGGTCCATGGCATCGTGTAATCATAGCTTTCGGCCCTTGGAGCCGTGCCAATTTACACTTATTAGAGGGGTACAAAAAGTCCGCAGTCTAGTGACTGAGTGAGTTTAGTTTTACGCCGCACTCAGCAATAATTCAACTATATGGCAGCGGTCTGTAAATAATCGAGTCTGGACCACACAATCCAGTGATCAACAACATGAGGATCGATCTGCGCAATTGGGAACCGATGACATGTGTCAACCAAGTAAGCGAGTCTGACAACCCGATTCCGTTATACGACAAGCATGGGTTACTAAAGATCAATATTTTAGCGGGTTCCGCAGTCTAGAGTACCAGTGGTCCGACTTCTATTTTGTGGAAGTCGCGGTTGCTGAGCGGGTTAGGTGGCTGACTTAGTGTGCGGGCGATTAGGTGCCTGATCTGAGGGTGTGGGTTCGAATCCCGGATGGGACTCAACCCAACAAAAGTACTAGAATTTGTACTTTACTGAGAAAGTGTAATCCCAAATATACTGAACAGCAAAAGAAACGCAAGTTTCGAACAAATAAAATCTCATGAAGGCAAGCGTTCATGTTTATGGAACGTTCATGTTAAAGTGACGTAATGATCCCAGATGAGATGATGTCATGCAATTTGACGTCCATGCGAAACATTCGCACAAACACACCAACAGTGCAGCAAAACCATAATTTTAGCACGTGCATCGACGGTTATAGATGAAAAGCATGCATTTCACTCTGAGGTATCCTTTATAAAAGTTTGTGTCAAAAAACAGTTTAGTATTGACGCTAGGAGGTGTACACGCCACACAACGATGCCTAGACTAACGACTGAGCAGAGGGGAATGGCCATTGGAAAGTTACACGGAGGTAGCACTGCAACCGCTGCAGCTAGACAATTGGGCTGCCATCTTATCACCATTACACGACTTGCTCAACGTCATCAGCAAAGCGGGTTGCTGCTGATCGACCCCGTACCGGACGGCAACGAGTGACAACTCATGCGCAAGATCGGTTCATCCGGATCACTCATCTAAGTAACCGAACTCAAGCAGCAACAGTAACAGCAGCCTTTGTTCTTGGGTCAAGGGGAGCAGTGCCAAGCGATACGATTAGGCGTCGTCTTCAGGCTGCTTGAATCCACTGCCGAAGGCCATATGTGGGGTCAATTTTGGCACGTCAACAACGCATATAGCATATGTTACAACAGACTGACAGGTTGTGGCTTCCCTCCTCATTCAATTAAAAGTGAACCGTTCCAGAGACGAGTGAATTTTTTTACTTCCCCACAGATACCTTGGATGCTCTTGGAGAAGGCAAAAGGCTTGATATTTAAAGGGCACCCATCAGCAGTTTCAATAAGCAAGAACCTTGGCCTGGAATCTGTAACAAAAGGTGATATCTCTTCATCAGATGAAGAAGACAAATGTAGACGTGTTTTCGAAGGATCAGACAGGGTGTTTTTAACCATGATCAGATAAGATAACTCAGCAGCCCTGTCCCCCACACGCCATCGTGTGTCAACAAGGACATTATTGCAGTGGAAACAGAACTGCAACACCAGGCCTAGGGCTACAGGGATGTTATACTCCAGAGAATACTGACTTGAAAAGCCATGATATCTTAAGGAATAAGCACCATGCTGCTTCAGCTCATGATACATTTCTCAAGAACATGGAATTCAGAGGTCTATATAATCAGATCAGCCCATGAACCACCGCCTCCTGGCCCTCAACAACCAGAATTCCTTCCTCCACCGATACAGGGGCGCAAGCCACGGCAAGCAGGTTGCCCAATTTTGGCTGCCTTTTACAACTAACAGTGGGGTTCTGTGGACCAGTTCTGCCCATGGTACACACGGGGGAAGAGCTTTTAGAGAAACCCATCACTCACCAGAAGGAGGTTGCTCTTCACGAGTGCCAATTATATACTAGGTAGCAAAAGAAACGTCATAATTGAAACTCATTTAATGTTTTGATTGTATATTTTTGACAACATCTCCAACTTTACCTGAGCAAAGACATTCCTTCCCAAACTTAGAATTGAACCCCGGAAATGTTCTCAAAAACGCAACCTGATCTCGGAGATGGTACGGTGTTCTCCACGTTTTTCATGCAACTCATGCTGCACGTGCTGTTCACAAGGACCAGTCCTATAAAATGCACCCCCAAACCTGGTAGAAATATTCCTATACAACGTCAGCATGATGCCACGACTCACGACGAACCAGGCGCTAGGAAGACTGGAAGCTGGCCACACTGCACAAGCCGTTGCCAATCACTTCCAGGTCAACGTTCGGACCATCTACAGGCTGCAGCAACGTTTCCGGGCCACCAACACTAAATGATCGCCCCCCGTACCGGCAGACCAAGGGTGACCACAAGACGACAAACCGCCATGTTGTGTGACAGCATGTACAGAATCCCTTCATGCAGGCAGCCGAAACAGCATGCCAGACAGTGGGAACACACGGAAGACCAATCAGTACTGATACAGTACGCCGACGTCTTAACAGCGGGAACTTCCATTGCCGTAGACCTTACCGTGGACCTATCCTCACCCCTCGTCATCGGCGTGAACGTCTACAGTTGGCCCTACAACACCAAAACTGGCGATACAGGCAATGGAGAACTGTTCTGTTCACAGATGAGAGTCGGTACTGCTTATAAACTGCAGATGGCAGAACAAGAATATGGCGACGACGTGGCCAGCGTTGCTCAGACCAATGTGTTATGGAAAGAGACTCATTGGGAGGTGCAAGCATCAAACGTTTATGGGGTGGAATAGGCCTGAACCAGAGAGTTGTGTTCCACAACCTTGGTCCAGGGAGAGGTGGCGGCATCACAGTGGTGCGCTACATCGACCAAGCTCTCAGACCCCACGTCATACCACATTTCGCACGTCATCGGAACAACGTTTCCCAGCATGATAACGCCCGGGCCCATACTGCTAGAGGTACACGGGACTTCCTACAGCAGAACGGTGTCAAAATTATGCAGTGGCCAGCCCTTAGTTCTGATTTAAACCCAATTGAACATCTTTGGGGATGAAATTCAGAGGAGGCTGAATAATGTTATACCAAGGCCGAACACAGCCGATTTATTGCACCAGGCCTTTCTCAGAGTGTGGTTCAAGGTGCTAGTGGCCTTCATCAATCGATTGGTGCACTCCATGCATAGTCGCTGTGCTGCAGTTATTGCCGCTCGTGGTGGTCACACTAGATGCTAAAGTCAAGAGTCTGAATGGACTGCGAACGTTTACGTAATGTCTTGGAATTGTGCTGGGTTATTCATTGATTGTGTCAGGATATTGTACACAAAAATGGTTTTGATCCGCTTATTATGTCTATTTTTGTAATGATTTGATTACAGTGCCTATCTAATTTTGAATTCGTACTGACGATATTTTGCTGCTGAGTATAGTATGCCGACTCCTAGTGGAAGTAGACATAGACTGAAGGATAGCACAACAGAAAATGTACGTTTATATCTTTTGGGAGTTAACTTTTTCCACACAGTCATAAAATTACCAGTCTCAGAATACATACAGAATTAATGGCAGTTATTTTGAAAAACGTTACTCGTATGTTATTATTTCACAGATACTTCCAAAGCGATGTTGGTAACATTTGATCTAATTTGTATTCACAGGCACTTTGCACTGACAAAACGTATATTTCTTTACGCAATTTATAATAACCCGAAGTCCCTTAAAATAGGATACAAAACTTTCTCATGTGTAACATAAATCGAATGTTTCTCCTGTCATTGGGAAAGGAGGTACCCATCAACCTGTTACAGTGCACGCTTGGCTACCTTTGCGAGATTACAAGTTGAACCCAATGACTAGCACGGCGGGTATCAGGTCATCAAGGCACAGGGCCAAACGGGTGTTATTCAAGACAAAATGTTATGCTCAGTTATGTGTTGAGTCACTGTTGTAACTTCACTACACTTATTCTCAACTGACGGTGGTTTTCCAGAATGATGAACTTTGACGACGTGTTGAGACAACTGGGGGAGTTTGGTACGTACCAGAAATGGCTGTATGTACTTCTGTGTCTACCATCAATACCACAGTCTCTCCAGGTCATACAGGCAGCTGTGTTTTTGTTCGCGGTTCCTGAACACAGGTAAGAGTATTTAGTGTTTTATTCACTGTTTTCAATCACAGAACCCCTTGATTCTGATTCCACATTTGTCTGCGCGGTATCAATGCGTGTTGGTGTCAGTTAATTGGAAAACATTTAGTACAGTCTTCAAAGAAAAAGAGAAATGCATAGGCGTTTTCATCGGTTCATTTCGATGTATTTTGACAGCAATCGTCATCAAGACAATGCATATGCAAACAGGTCTGTGTCGTAACCGTTCGCCATTAACGACCCAGGCCTTGACCTGCCCGCTTTCGAAAACCATAGCTCCCAAAGTACTGCATCGATTTTTGTGATGTTTGTACGTAGGTAAATCTTTTAATGGGGTATATGCAGTTAGCATTGTTGTAATAGCCCTGGAACGAAGTTGATGTGTTGACTTTGTTATACCTCTTACCTTTATGTACTGCTAAGACCCCGTCAGATTACAGTGTAAACACTCTTCAAAAAGAGCGCGTTGCAGGAGGAATGGCGAAGTATTCCCCAAGCAAATACTAGTATCCGACGACATATGCAATCCCTTCCGAGGCGGTGTCACCAGGTATTGATCTGAACGCCCCCTTGTGTCCACACATGTGCAGTGAGTGAACAATCGTCACCACTCCCCCCTTTCCGTAACCTGCAAGAAGACTCGTCCCCTTCTCGATGCTTGTTTTGTGCGAAAATACGAGAAATGACTGCGGTGCTTTGGTAAAAATAATCACGAGTACTTAAATCGTTTATGGCATTATGTCATTTTTTAAAAAATCATGAAAAATAAATCTCGTCATATTGAAAGTACAAAGAACTTAGCTAACAGGATTTTGCTGCCTATTATGGTGTTTTTGATAAGAATCATGCGATTGAGGGCGAGAGATTCAAATACACGCACGTGCGTTTGTTGACATAACGGCTCTCATGGGTCCAACTGAGGGTGTTTCTGACGATCTTGCGGGTTTGCTATTGAGATTGTACGTGCGCTTCCAACAATTTTCGGAAATGTAATTATAAATCGCTGCGAGTTTCAAAACAATAATATTATATCTGTATGTAACTAATCAACTTTAATCTTTAACATTGGGCATATATTTCAATTCTCTGAGAATATTTTAATCTGACCTTCTTGTGGTCATTCACATATTTTTCAGCGAATTCAGTTAAAAGTCCACTTGTGGTATTACAGCAAGGTTACAGGTATGTTCAGTTTGAGAAAATTTATAAAAGTCATTTTTTGAGTTTCTGCTTTGGAATTTAATGTAGCATGTTCTTTTTACAAATTGTATTTGCATAATCAATAAAACAAATCCCTTTTGTGATTATTAAACCCTTTTAAGAAATATAATTGGAAATATATGGTGAATATCTGGTAATAATTACGTCAGAATATGTCTTTAACAAATATGTTTTTTTTCTTTCTTTAGTTCTACCAAAGAGGTTTAGTTCTTTAGAATAAACAGCAAAAACAAAAACAGCAATACAAGGTATGAGTACTTCCGGTGATATTAAGGAATAGAGTTATCGTTCCTGTTTGAAGTAGTTCTGATGTTCCTACCACAATATGAAATCCTTCCAGAGGGTCACGAGTCGCCATTCGGCTTGTCCCGGAATAACCCGAGTTGGTCACGAATGGTGAGTCAACTGAATTAATGCTGACAATGACAACAATACATTATAAGTTGTTCACTGGTCACGAGGGGGGCATGGGTTGATGTACTCTCGATGTTAGTTTATGTTCCCTGAGCCCTAAACAAACATGAAGGGTACATCAACCCATGGGCCCCGAGGGACCAGTGAACAGCGTATTTATCTTACCGAACACCTTAATGTTAATTTTGAATTGTTTGAAGCACGGGTACAAATCTTTTTGTAGCCATCGCTAGATTTTGCTGACAAGAAAAACAGATTTAGAGTTATCTCCGTTCCATCGATTTGCATTCGCAAAACATCGGTAATTTCTGCACATCATACGTGATTCAATGTTATTCGAGATAAAGAATTACTACCACGAAGTACCAAATGAGTTGCCATTGACAGCAGGGTACATTGAAATGCTACTCGCTTCTGAGCGGGGTACATTGAAAATAATAGAAGAGCGCTCAGCCAATCAGAAAGCGACATGTATGTGAGGTAAGATAAATGTTCATCTGTGCGTCGAATTTCCTTCATTTATGTTCAATCTTAATCGACATATATGTATACAATGTATTTAAATACGTTTGATACATTTCCATATTTTTGGCGTTTCTTTTTTTGAACAATTAGGAGATAAACGTATTCGGCTTCAAATGAAATTTAGAGACTATCAGTTCGGTCAAATATTCATCTAATTTCCAAACACAGTATGTTTATCTCCATTCTACCATAACTGATTTAAAATCGAACTTCTTTGTTCCGCGGAAGATACTGCATGGTTTTTATAAGCCAACCTTTACACGACCGAAACTAGCCTATTGTTTTGTGTGCCGTGTTACTGAATCCCCCTGGCAACACTATAATGCAATCGTCTGACCTACTTATTTTCTTGGAAGAAGTTGTTACGCAACAGTTTGAAATGGCGGACGAGCCAGTGTTTACATTTTGCGTAAGGTTGAAATTTGAAGTCACAGTGGAGAAAATACTTCACAGACTGTCAAATCTGAACCCAGCAGAATCGAAGAATAGATCCTTTTTTGATCGACCTACGTATTCATCATTTGGGATTGGATTGTGGCCAAGCTATTTTCAAAGGGTACGAACATAGATCACCAGCAGTGACAGCCTTGCCGGAAACTGACAGAGAGCAGAATTCTTGTGGTTAAATTTTTACATGTATTTTTTTAACAATGCAACGGGACATGATGGAGTATGGGTGACATAAATTTGGTGTTTCGCCTGACCGTTATCTTGCGAATTTCCCATTCTCAACAGAAACAAATACACCATTTACCAGGTAGGCAAATGTTTACTTACGTTTTGCTGCAAATTCTGTATAGATAGGGATGTATTTTACAAGGCTTTCTGATTTATAAGTTAGATATTGTTTGTTTATGTTTGGGGCTGTGCATTGTAATTGAGTTTGAATGTTATTATAATAGAAGCTAATATGATAGTAAGGTTCCCTAATGATTGTGGAGGAAAAATTATATTATTGTATTCTTTCAGTTTAATAAATATTTTACAAGCATTTCCATCACGTCTGTTGTGTTGATATTAGCCATGTTGGAGGTCTAGCTGAAGTAGTGCGGCAGTGTTGTATACGTGCGCAGTGAAGAGGTCAGACGCATTTTCAATCCAGGATTGATAGTGTCTAAATTTATTGCTTGTCCAACCGCCATATAGCTAGAATCTTGCTGAGTGCGGCGTCAAACTCATTGATTGTCCAATCAAATTCGAGTATTTCACGTAATCATGGTAGAATGTCCCTTCACATCATCGAGCGACCCTTCAACCCCAGAGATCGGCAATCGTGAATAGCAACCTCCACGTGGTTATTGCTGGGTAACGCTAATAGTTGTTCCTTTTTGTGGACTCGGGGTAGAATGTGTCCACAGCAAGCCACTGCTGGTCGTAAAAGCTGACCAAATTGGGCAGTCTGTTTGCCGTGGGTTGCGCCCCAGTGTCGGTGGAGGAAAGCATTCTGGTGGTTGAGCACAATAGGAGCCTGGAACCGTGTTCCCGTTGCCCAACACCCTACCTTCACCTGGACGGGTGGTAGAATGGGTCACGTCATGTCCTTTTTATTATTGGGTCTCGGTCGTTTCAGTGAGTGAATGAGTTTAGTTTTACGCCGCACTCATCAATATTCCAGCTTTATGGCGGCGGTCTGTAAATAATCGAGTCTGGACCAGACAATCCAGTGATCAACAGCATGAGCATCGATCTGCGCAGTTGGGAACCGATGACATGTGTCAACCAAGTCAGCGAGCCTGACCACCCGATCCCGTTTGTGGCCTCTTACGACAAGCATGGGTTACTGAAGTTCAATATTCTAACCCGGGCCTTCATTGGTATTTTTCCAACCGTGGAGAAAAAGGCTGGAGCAAAATACTAGGGTAGTGAGCACCTTGGTTTCAGGTGCAAGTGCGTGTGAACGCTGGGTATCAGGCATAATATAATAATAATAATGCATATTTATAATGCGCCTATTCCACATCCTGGGGCATGCTCAAAGCGCCATGTACAGATAATTTACACGAGAGCATTTACTGCCGAGATTGTAAGTAATAAACTGAGAACAGGTTTTAAGTCTGGACTTTAAAAATGTATATTGTGTAAGAGCTTTTAATATGTGCATGAATAACACGCGGTCTGCCTTTAGAATCCCCCACCAAATATGCGCAGTGAAATCAAACATATTTGTATCTTTTTGCTTCAGAACATTGTTCACTTCACGGCTGTCCCTATTCTTAACCATGACGTTGCAATATTGTTGTACAATACAAATGTAGTAGTATATATAATAGCTATTATATATACTACTAATGTGTTACACCGACTCGCTCGGTTGTGTTCCCAAGACGACAGTGATCAGACTGGCCTGACATTTATATGGCTTCAGTGCAGTGTTTGTTTACATCACAGAAATATACAAATTCATTTCATGGGGGATTTTAGGGGACGCTCACGGTGAAATGCTCGCTCTTATTTTTCACATAGAATAGGAAAGCCACCATTTTGGTTTCTCTACGATTGATTCTAGCTATCCTAAGTTGGTCATGAGCAACTTAGACATTGAATCTTAACTTTACGATTGACTTAGGTAAGATTTGTTAGTGGAACGGTATGCCGATCGTAACGTCACGCTAAGATTGGGATTTTATGGGTTTACGATTGGCGTAGGGCTAAGATCGGTTAGTGGAACGGCACCCAGGTCGATGAGCCGTTGCTTAAGCAACGTCGTGTAAAATTATCATTACAATATGTTACGAAGCCTAATTCTAATCAGTTCAACAGTGCGTACAGCTGCATTTTTAGTCCTCTTTATAAAAGGCCTTCTCTCATTCCGCGTCTATGAATAGGAATTTAACCTTTCATTTCTGCTGCAAATATTGAATATCGAAAATATATGTCCTTTCCGAGTGTTTTCATCTGCTGCTTGCAGGCAACTGGTAGAGTCAAAGGTGGGTCTAACCTTATCACAGTTAAAGAATCTGACACAAATCAGTTAGGATATGAACATTAATAAATCAGTTAAGGTGTAATTATAACAATTAAAAATCTATGTTTACAGATGGATCAGAGGATGGTGACGCTGTTGCCTGCGCCACTATCCATGGATCCAAGACTGTGTCTTCAACAATACCTGATAACTGTTCTATTTTTACGGCGGGAGCAAGAGCTATTTTAACAGTTTTAAAATATATCAAAGTTCAGTCCAAACAGAACCTATGTATAATATTTTCTTACACGCTTTCGTGCCTTCAGGCTCTTGATAACATGTCCAGTACACATCCACTATTAATCGAAATTATTGAATTGCGGGGGGAATTCAAGTGGTTTCAACAGCTGGGCTGTGCTGCGCTCGGCTGCGCTCATAGCACATGCGCAGTGAAATAGGTTCACGCAGTTTGGAAGCGGGTTGTACGGTGAATACTCGGTGAAGGCTTTGGTGTGAGCTATTTTTCTAATTTTTTGTAGATATTTCACTGGCGCGAGCTTTTTATATGTTATGACAGTAGATTACCGATTTAACTGTTTATATAATTTCATCTGTCTATTTCACCACACGTTCTTCTTACCGAGTCACTTTCTCATTTCGATACTTAAAAGCAATGTCATTATTTAGCGTTGACAGAATTTCTAACTGTGATATAGATATGTCGTTGTCTCAGACAAAACTCAATGTCTGTTTTATTGACACCTATGTGTCTGCCTGCCTGTCTGCTAATGTCAATATTCAATACACAACTTCGATCTCTGACCAATTTGAACTTAGCACCTATCAGGCTATATACCATAAACAAAACGCATTGATTTATGGCCCGAGTTCGGTCTCTGTTACATTATGTAATTACACAGACACACATGACATGTTATGATGTCTGTTGATTGCAACATGTTATACACAAAAAAATGAACATGTATTTACAAAACCCAACATCTCTATATATGCACACACAATGAGCCGTGAGGGAATCTGCAAATGAACCAGCCGTTACACTTGAGTGCACACCCACCCGCTCTGACTGGGTTCGGTATCCCGGCTGCTTCGTTTCTTGGGAAGTAAACCCAAGTACACAATATTGCACTTTTGATTTGCGATTGTACGCTTATGATTTTGTTTATATGTTTTTTCATAACCAGCAATGTATATTATATGTCATAAATAAGTGATAACTGTGTTTTGCTTATGTTTGATTTTTTGGTTGCATGTGACCATTTAAGGACCTTTTCACCAATGTTAATTATCATTGTTTTTGAAAAGAAATAGAATTGATTGATAAATTTTAATTAATACGTGTTGTAAATCTCATAATCGGTAGTTTCAATTAGCAACCAAGATTGTTAGTGGCTGTGTCCTCAAAGGGTTTTAAAGTATTTTAAAATTATCGGCTGAAATGAGAGGGTACGTAAGTCCAAAAACCAAAGTAAATTTAAATCTACCATATTTTATCGCAGGAAAAAAATGTTATTGAACTTATGGTTAGATTTGTCTCCAATCGTTAACATCTGAGAGGATCGTGTTAATCCCGCTCGGGTCCATGCAGGTAGCAAAAGCACTGAAAGTCCAAATGGTCCAATGCATGGTGATTTACCTTCAGTTGCTGGCGATTTATAGCCTGATTTTATATTGTTTTAATTATAATCTGTGATAGCCTAGTTGTTATGCTGTCCTTCGATGACAACTTTTTATAAAAGTATAATTTATCAGATTCATTAGATATATTTTCAACATATGACTTTTCGTCTTCACGATATGGTTGAAATGTTGCCGATGTGACGTAAATTTTTCACTCGCTCACTCAAACCCGGCTCACAGACCAACAAACCTCTACTTCAGCACAATGTTTCTAGGATGCATATGCGTTTAGAGAGGTAAGATAATTTGGACTTTTTATGACAAATGCATACGCCGAAATTTGTTCCTTTATTACTTCGAATTAAACTTAGTTGTTCTTCATTATTTCACTTGGATAATCAATATTTATTTGAAAATAATCCTGCGTGATAATTCTGAACAAAAAACCCATGAACAAACGCAAATTTCTGTTTTATGAAATATCAGTTATGCATGTCAAAATTTAACGAACAGCGTCGTGGAGTTGGTATTGTAGCGACAGCTTGGCCATTGGCAATGTCTTTAGAGTTACATCACGGGTCCTGTGGTCAGTTGGGTACTTAGTCACATAGCCAGAAAGGTGTTATTGGTATTGGTTTTAGAGTTGCACGGGCCCTGTGGTCAGTTGCTACTTGGTAACTCAATTGCACTCAACCACCAGCATCCCGTCCTCCACCGACACGGGCGCAACCCACGGCAAACAAGTTGCCTAATTTTGTTGCCTTTTACGACCAGCAATCGGGTCCTGAGGACCTGTTCTACCCGGGTCCACACGGGGGAAGAGTTGTTATTTTTTCTTTTCATGAGTGCCCACGATGTATGACATGACATAACACTGGCCATCCTATTGTAGTAAGAGTGGGGACGAATTCGCAAGAGCCACTTCGTCGATTTATCCAGTCTGTGCCTAAGCGGTGCCAATTGTTGCCATACAAAGTACTGACTTTGACATCATCAATTAAACTAACGTAATACATTCTTCTAAATGGCTTATGCATTTCTCTATTTGAAGGGTGAAGTCGTTAATCTTAATTAGCATAGAAATACTGTTGTTGTGATATATTCCTTTTTTCCTGTATTGTGGAAAATATAGAACATGTTGTAACACGCTGGCTGCGACAATGCACTCACTATGGTTCCTCAATCACAGGTGCGCAATTCCAGGACTGGCAAATGACACCTACGAAATTCAGAATGACTTTCACGAACAACTCATAAACAGTTCCATTCCCATGACATCTGGTTACTATGGCGATGAGAAGTATTCCCGCTGTCAACTGTATCTACAAACCAATACCTCCAATATACCTACAAGTAATATCACAGAGCCTTGTAATGCCTGGGTGTACGACCAATCACAGTTCATGTCCACGATTTCAGAAACGGTGAGTTGTAAGCCAAGAAGCATAACTTCTCCCGTGACAAATATTCAGATGATTTAGTTTGGAATTGTGTGAAATTACTACAACAGATAAGGCTTTGTATGAGATTGTGCCATGAATCAATGCGAAGGTGTGCAAGGATATGAAATTCATCGCCAACATCACACGTGTCGCAGAGGTCACACATTCTTTCTTCAGGTGGGACTTTGTGCAACCTACCTCCTTCTGTAGATAAACGATGGCAGGAAATTAAGAACCAAGGAAAAAGGGATACATGTCAAATATCTTTCAACGACATGTTCAGTTTTGAATACAATAAGTGATACCTTAATTAGAATTCGAAATCAAGATAAAAAGTTTTAAGATCATTAATATTTTTACTGTGTATGTCTATTACATGGGTATCACCACCTTTAGGGAATGTGTGTGGGCGGTGATTATTTCCTTTGTGCTACGAATCAGTCATATGTGTATCACATTAAATAACATTAACAAGTCCAATTTAATCTGCGTGACTGATTGCACTGTATTCGTTCCAGCTTGATTTTGTCTGCGAGAAGAGGTCCTACGTGAGTCATGCCAAGATGCTTGGTATGTTTGGGCATCTGGTCGGCGGTGTGATTAGTGGTCCATTGTCAGACATGTGAGTATACATAACGGATTGCATGAGAGGGTGAATGCATTAATGTTCTTTCACGGTAGTCAGCAATATTCCAGTTCCTGGAAGTCGATATGGTCAAATGTGGATCTACAAAAACAGTGACAGGTAGCATGGAGTGAGTATGGTTTACGTCGCTTGTATCAATACTAGAGGAATATCAAGGTGGGTATAACAGGCATCACGCATTATACCCATTTCAACCCTTACATATATCCAGCGACGTTATTATCGAAGAAGGCACAGGTCCAGTTTCAATATGTAGCTACAGGACCTAATCTGATCCAGAATCACGATACGATCTGGGAAATGGATTCAGGTCTACAACATGCCGCTGCTACGGTACAGTGACAAGAACTTGTCTGTATACGCGCATTAAATAGTATGCGAGATGTGACATCCACTGCGCAAGAACAGACTAAACAATAATTTGTTTTAACAGCGTTTAAAAGAGTGGGCCTTCCATAAATGTAATTGGCAAGACCTTGTATTATTGCTGTATTTCTGAAACAAAGTAGAAAGTAACGGATTTACAATCTTAAAGCCTTTGGAAGTTTATCTATTGATAGGACAAATGGTATTACGAAAAGAAAATATATTCTGTCCTCTAAGCCAATTTAATAGTCCCTGAAGTACAGACATAACTTACTGTTCCTGTAGAGTTTCAAAACATATTGTATTTCCGTTGATGCTAAAAGCTTTCGTTGGATCCAATCTCCACACGCTTTGCTCCTTAACTATCCACAACGGAGGTGCTTAGTTCATTGGAGAAGATTGCATTCAATCAATGTCCTACAGGGTAGTATGCAAACAATTACACAAAAGGTACATTATTCCACCTTATCCATTGTGAATTTCGCAACATATTAATATCCAAACGGAATTATTTGGATCCTAGTAATGATAACAATGTCTATATTACGTATTCCTCCGTTTTGTATCCCTTGTCATGAAAGAATCACGATTAAGCATGTCCTGCTTGACTGTATTGACTTTCCATCACAATGGATAAATATTTCAATGTCAAAACAGTAAAGGATCTTTTTAATGTTAATTATCATTTAATTATTGGATTTTTAAAAGAAATAAAATTATTAGATACATTTTGATAAATGGTATATTTTATTATTGGTAGTTTAATTGAGCAGCTGAGATTGTGAGTGGCTGTATCCTCACGTTGGGTTGAAGTATTGTAAAATTATTGTCCTCTTGTGGGGACAAAAACATTTCAAGTAGATTTTAACTTACCGCCTTTTTAATCGTAGAATATGTGTTCTTTTAATGTATGACTAGATTTGTCGTAATTGCTAACAGCTGACGGGATGGTGTAAATCCAGCTTGGGTCCATGCAGGAGGCAAATGTACTGTAAGTCCCATGGTCCCTAGTATGGTGATCTACCTTCAGTTGTTGGTAATTTTTAGCCTGTTTAATTAAGCTGTTTTAGATTTTCAAACACGTTTTACATTTATAACTGTGATATTCTAGTTATTTTACTGTCCATTGCAGACAGGTAACCATATTATCTAAATTTGTTTGTACTCATTGATAAATTGACAACTTTCTTAGTCACGATATGGCTGAAATACTGCCGATGTGACTTTAAATTTTAACTCATCCACTCACCATATTACGTATGGCACGCCTTCATTATTCGAAACAACCATCTGGTTTCATTGCGGATACCATCATACGCTGTGATGGAGAATGCTTTGTTAGATGATCGTGTATTTTCTGCAGGTTTGGAAGACGACCAGTTATAATCACTAACATGTTCATCCTGGTGGTGCTCAGCATCTGTCTGGTGTGGTCCAACTCAGCCCCCTTGATCTTCATCCTTGATTTTATCATTCAATGTGTCGCCCTGGGACAGTACCTCGTTTGCTTCGTATTTGGTAAGGCAATGGCCTATTTGGATTATAGCCTGTAGATTCACAGTCTTCATCGTGGATAGTTGCTGACGATTTCAGTCGTTTATTTACTTACAAGTCTTAAAATAGTAGAAGTCAACCCAGATAATGCACATGAGATACTGATAAGGCCACCTATGGCAATAGTAGTTATATATCCGCATTGTACAACTAACATTGAACGTTGACCTTGCATGTTACAAACAGGAATGGAAATAGTGGGTCCGGCTAAGCGTATGTGGGCAGGAGTTGCCATGAACCTCTTCTGGAGCGCGGGGAACATGGTGTCAGCTCTTACAGCCTATCTCTTCCGGGACTGGAAGACTCGACAGCTGATTGTCAGCATTCCGGCAATTCTCTTTGCGTATTTGTAGTAAGTATATGACTGTGAATGGAAGGTTATGCTAGATGTAATTTATGCATTATGTTAATGAACAGGTTTCAATTGCCTTAAAATAAAAATAAACTACGGATATAGTGCTGATTTCGAGGTATAAGAAATATGAACAGTATCACTGCTCTCAAACAAGGTTATGTTTATGCACCACGCAGTTTTATCCCAGAGTCTCCAAGGTGGCTTCTTAAACATGGAAAAAGGGAAGAGGCTAAAATCATAATGGCAAGTATGTCAAAGAAGAACAAAGTTAAACTAGATCCAGATATTCTTGATGAGGTCGATATCGAAAAGGAAGAGGTAAAACAAGAACCATTCTGGAATCTCTTGAAGTCATCAGTGATGATGCGGCGAATGATCATCATCTGCTATAACTGGTACGATGTTTAGTAGATCAGACACACACGTGGCTTTCATTTCAGTATATGTTAGAAACGTATACATGTATTTCAATGTTAATGTTAGGGTCTGTTTATTATCGGCTAATTCATAACGTGGGGGTGTAAGTTAGCCTAGTGGTTAAAGCTTTCGCTGGTCACGCCGAAGACCCGCGTTCGATTTCCAACGTGGCTACAATGTGTGAAGCCCATTTCTGGTGTCCCCTGCCGTAATAGTGCTGGAATATTGATAAAGGTGGCGTAAAATCTAACTCACTCACTACTTCATAAAGTGAGAAAAGTGGTTATTAACAACATTTCCGTGGGAAGGTTCATTACAGTGTTGACAGTCTTACCTTGTTGTCTGTGTGTCCACAGCAACGAGTGAGTGAGTTAAAATTTAAAGTGACATCGGCAAACGTTTAGCCATATCGTGACTAGCATAGGCCATATGTTAAGCCACATCAACGAAGACATTAAATTTTGTACTTATTTCCCCCAATACTTTAATAATTTTGAATAGTGAATCTAGCAATAAATGAAACTATGTTCATTACTGAAATTGCTTCTCTTCACTTCAATATATTCCGTCTTCAATGGCCTTGTAGGTTTGCAGTTGGAATGGGTTTCTACGGCCTCAGCATGAACGTCAACAACCTCGCTGGTAGCATCTACCTCAACTTCTTCTTGTTCATCACCGTGGAGGCTGCTGCATACGTGTCCTGTTTTTTCCTAATGGATCGTATTGGCCGCAAGTTGTTGCTGTGTATATCGATGGCACTTACAGGGGCAGCATGCATTCTGCCTTTGGTCCCAGTCCTGGTTTCGGATACACGTAAGTTTCATTGCGAGAATTCACATACAATTATACATAATGGACGTGCAAAAAGAACCCCGTGACATGGCATTTGTAGAATTGACAAATATACATATGCAAATGCATGCATGTCGAGAAAAATCCTTAGTCACCTTTAACATTGCTTACATTGATCACACGTGTAGTTAATTTGAAGGTGTAACATGAGGAAGGACTAAATATCTATTTCATCGTCTGTGCAACATTTAAGTTAATGTCGATGACAGCAAATCCATTGTACTGTCTCTGCCTCTATGTCCATTAGCTGAGAAATGGGCCATCAATATCCTCGCTATCATCGGAAACACGTGTGCCTCTGCTGCCATGTGTAGCGTCTACACCTTCACAGCTGAACTCATGCCGACCACGTCAAGGACATTTGGCATGTCAATGAGTTCTGTGTGCTGTAGAGTCGGAAGTCTACTCTCTCCATATATTGTTGACCTGGTGAGTTGTAGGAAACCCGTAGGATTGTAAGTCGGGAGCTAGTGAAATAAAATGTCCCAAATATCGATGATATGTGATGAGTTGGAGGAATCTTGTAAATGTGGAACATGAAAGGTTTAAGATGGAGTGATTAAAGATAGGAAGCGGAGCTATGGATTAACAACATGACGTTACAGGTCAGCTGGAAGACATTAACTGATGAAAGATTGCTTAAGAACAAAAGAACTGTAGAGAACTGGAAGAAGTATACATGAAGTGTGAGATAAATGTGGGAATTATGAGTTAATGTGTTGTATACGTGTAGTTGTGAGACAACTGTATACAGTCAGAAACCTTGGTCATCTTGTGTCTACTTAAATTTAATTCACTGGCGGACGTTTACTTTAACTTGAACTCAACATCAATAAATACCAGGTGGCCCTTGTTATGTCCTGTACATAATATCGTCCGGCATTGTCAAGTGTTTTCATAGCAATGTGTCCAACTAAGTCTAAATCGAAACCAGTGCCACCGTTTGGTATCTTAACGCCATTCTTGAAATAACGAAGTAACTTGTATCACCACTTTTCAGACCCTGCACGTATCAGGACGGTTTGGTCAGATTCTCCCAATGCTGATATTCGGGGGTATCACAATCTTGGCGGCACTTCTGGCTCTGCTCCTCCCGGAAACGCGGAACAAGAGGCTACCGGAATCCATAAAGGAAGCTGAGATGCTCGGGACGTAAGTATTCCTTTATAACACCCCAGCATCAGCATCAGTCTTATGCTCTGTTTCTATAGTTGAATCAGTATGAGGCATGTAAAGTCGTTGTACGGTTCACTCCCCGTCATGTCTTCAACTTTGTGTCGTCCCTGGTATGGTGATCAGCCTTTAGTTTCTGGTGATCTATAGCCCGTTTTTATATTGTATTCTTGTCTATAGTGATATACGTTTTATGACAGCGTACTAGCTTTAAATTAAGAGCTGTGATACTCTAGTAGTTTTACTGTCCTTCGATGACAGTTTTTTTTATGTTCTACATTTATTGCTTTTAATATTGATATAAATTAAATTGTTCTCGTCACGATATGGCTGAAATATTGCCGATGTGACGTTAAATATTAACTCACTCACTCACCCACTCACTCATCTTTGTGTTAGAAGAGACACATCACAGTTTCAGTGTTAAGACCATGGCAATTGCACCTTAAGACCAAATTATTACAGTTTCGGTTCAATAAGCCAAATCAAATACACATAATGACTTGCCATATAAATTGGATTTTCTATTCTGCTTGTCACTGTCTATAAGCAGAAAAGAACCATTGCTGTATTTCCTCGTGAACCAAAAATAGCATTCAGGTGTACACACGTGCCGTTGAAGAAATTACCTTAGAATATAACTGAAATGTAATTTTCGTGCGGAATACATTTTATATCAATTCATTATTATATCTGTAACAATGTTTTCAATTATTATCTTACTTTGGTTTTCGCATTTACTGTATACAGTTTGCATACGAACGACTGTAAACGCAGAAATTTGTAAAAACTGACTGCAATTGTCGAATATGATTTTACGTATGATCGATCACCATAGGGATTATCCCTGGTCGTGTTATATCTATTGCATAAAGACATTTGGAATTTGTGTCCATTCTAACGTTCGTTGGAAGGAAGGGGTGGGGTCATGTCAAAGCTCCGGGTTCGATTCCACACATGGTAACATTGTGTGAAGCCCATTTCTTGTTATTGCTGGAATATTGCTGTGTGCGGCGTAAAACCATACTCATTCACTCACACTCGTTTAAAGAGGAAATCTGATGATAAGTGCGGCTGTATTGTAGATATAACATGAACACATTCATGAACATTTGTGAAGTACCTTGTTCGTTGCTTACAGGAGCGAGTACGACAAAGATGTCACAGGCACATCTCCAGTTGAACTAATTCTACTTGAATCTGAGTCAAAGGAGAAAGACGGCGAAGCTGAAGATATGACATAAATGACAATGTTCCAGGCGGTCTGCTTTGTGATGAAATAAACATAGATGTACAGGACATATATAACCCATCTCATTGTGAATGCCGTCTAACATTTTCAGAACGTATGAGACACAACAATCAAATATTGCCATGTATGTTACATTGTTTTCATGTATAGAAAGCGATTATTGTGAGTAGTAGTTGTTCGTTTCAGCATGTGAGCATGTCTCTTGGTATTATTATAAGGAACTTGTAGATATATTATATACATATAGAGAAAAATTAACAGCGCCCATTTTTGTCAAACTAAGCAACTTTAACGAACCGGTGCATAAAATGCCTCAAAGATTTCCGTACCATATGAATATTGTAGTGACCAGAGGAGAAACATAGCCAAGTTTACTGTCAGTAGCATGCACACATCTTGTTCTTGTATAATGTCTGACTTTCCATCAGTTTCCTGTGTAACCTCTCTGCACAAGACGCCTCCTCATTCCTTGGATCAGTATCCTTTTTTGATTCTGAGGAATCCTGTTCCATCCTTTATGCAAGGCAGCAGTCAGTTCATTGAGTCTGGATAGGTGGGTTTCTATGTCAAACCCGACGGCCTGAAATGCCCCACAGATGCTCAATGGGAATAAGATGTGGACTCTCTCACACGCACGCACGAACGCACGCCCGCCCGCACGCCCGCACGCACAGCATTCTACGTGATTCCTGAAATCTTTGCGTAAATTGGGTAAAGGGGAAACTAGCAATAAAGTAGGTTTCATCCTCAACAGTATTACATGTACACAGTTTACAAAATCTATCTTCCAACGGACTTGAAGGTCAAACAAATCTTCCCAACTCGATTTCAAGTGGCAGTGTTCCACAACGTAACTTACTCAGGATGCTGCTGTGTGATCTCACCAATGTAGTATCGACATAGATTTCAGCACATTGAGTAGAGTAAAAGGGACGATAGACACGAAGTTTGTTACTGTTGCTGTGCCTGCTACCATTCCATAGCTTGTGATCTGTGGATATTAACTAATTCTTTGAATTGACAAACTCCGAATGTGTGACATTAACTGTATTTGGCATTGGCAACTGCCAGGGACCGATCATAGCATAAGCATTATTGTTCCTGGTTCTTCTAAAACTGTGGGACCATCTGTTAATGGCACTGATTATCCTTGCATTATCAAATGACGGCAGCCGACGTCAAAACCGTAGGATATCATTTTTTTGTTTTTGCGGTTTTACTATCTACAGTAAGGAAGAAACGACAAGCTCGGTTGACAAATATGAGCTGTCGAGTTCGCCAAATCTATGTATTTTAAGATCAAACAGGTTGTACTAAGTTTTCATTAAGGGTATTAAAAACCTCATATGCCAAACAACGAACAGATTCTAATTTACATACGATTACACAGTGTAAATTAAAAATTCATTTTATTTGCAGTTAGATGTATGTCAAGCATTTCGTGAAAACAAACAAACATTATAAGCGTGATTGCACTCAATTATATCCTGACAACAGAAGAAAATCCAAAGTTAGATCTTTGTTTACAACAAGACGATAGTGTACCACTTCTATCGCCTTATAATTAACAGTCACCATCTAGAACAGAACATCTAGAACACCGTCTGTGATACAATGTATCATTCGCTGATGCCTTATCTCATCAGTGGCAATATCGTTTGCTTTAAGCGTCACTGACGTAACTCAACCCTGACGGACTCCCGTAAGTAACTGCAAGATATCTATATAGCTTTCATTAGTGCGGCAACGTGAATATGCTCTCATACATAGACTGCATGGCATTGAGAAGTTTATACCTTAAGCAGTTACAATTATTGATCTTATCGAACCCTTTAATCAGGCAAATAAACGCTGACCGCCTTGAGATGTTTTGTTATTAATTAGTGAAAGTAAACTGTAGTGCTACGTTTAGACCGAAATCCATTTTGTTCATCAGCTAAAACTTTCGTAGCTCTTTCTGACGAACTGTCTTACAATTTAGTCACTGCTTCCCTGCCTAACCAGTTTGTCCCATAACTCTTTTGGACACAGTTAGTACAGCCATCGAACCCGTGAAGATCCGGGTTAGAATTGATCTTCAGTAACCCATGCTTGTCGTAAGAGGCGACTCGTAACGGGATCGGGTGTTCAGGCTCGCTGACTTGGTTGACACATGTCATCGTATCCCAGTTGCGTTGATACATGCTCATGCCGTTGATCACTGGATTGTCTGGTCCAGACTTGATTATTTACAGACCGCCGCCATATAGCTGGAATATTGCTGAGTGTGGCGTAAAACTACATTCATTCACTCACTAGTATAGTCATCGTGTCCAGAGTTTATGTTGTCACTGCCACTGACTTGATGTTGAACGGGGATTCTTATTTGCCATTTTGGGATAACGTGATCCAGTATACTGTCTGGAAATGTTGACACCTCAAAGTCTTCATTGTTGTACAGGTCTTCATGAGAGGTGATAACATAATCCACAACAGCAAATCCGTTCTTAACGTGTGTGAAATCTTGCTTAAGGACTCGTCCATTTATTATGCGCACATAAGCATTCACTTCGAACTAAGAGGAAAGCTTACCATAACTGTTCAAGTCGATGACCGCTCTGTCCGGTATATTGCCAACACTTTCTATAAAGTCACGCTCACTTCTTGTTCTGGCATTAAAATCTCCGCACATACACAACATCCCTTCGTTCTGGAACATGATATCTTCTCAAGGAGGTTCTCAAAGTGAGTGAGTGAGTGAGTGAGTTATAATTTATCTTCACATCGGCAATATTTCCAGCCATATCGTGACGAGAACAATTTATAAATTAAAAATAAATACATTTTGAAGATTAAAACCTGTCGGCGATGGGCAGTAAAACCACTTGAGTGTCACAGATAGTAAGGTACAACTAGCTTATTGAAAAATGACATCACTAATGAGAACAATACACTGTAACAAAACGGGCTATGGATCGCCCGCAACTGAAGTAAGATCATCACACAAGGGACCGTCAGGACTTAGAGTACTTTTGCAGCCAAAACGTACCGATGAATTTCACTTTAAACAAGAATGTATATCAAATAAAGTGAAATTAAGATTGCCAATCCTCATAATTTTACCTTGCCAATTGAACATTTGAATCTCAGAATTTGATTCATCTTAGGATAAAAGTTGTTAAACAAACGATCATATATTCAAATCGCTATTACTGGTTTGTATTACAAGGGGGGTAAGCGCAGTGGTTGGAACAGTGAAACAAATGCACGTGCGGTACGTGATGAGCGTTAACTTAGACCAACCTTACTTGTTCTCGGTGTTTCATTTAATGTGCATACACCCTTGTAATACAAACCAAACCGAATAATATCTGAATTTCAACTGGAGACAACTTGTGGGAAACAGAATTCTCTTCTCAAATCAATTAAACATTAATATTGTTTACCAAGATATGATCTCAAATGTTAAAGGTTCAAGGATATTGTATGATAAATTGATTAAGAACAGCAATACCCCTAAGGTACTGGAGTATTTGAATAAGGTCTTTCAGCAGGATATAATGTGGAGTGATGTATTCAGATATTACAGGAAATGTACAAATAATGGTAAGCTGTTACATTCTCAGAGTACAGATTTATTTACAGAAAATTATACAAAGAAAGATATATTGAGGATGAAGCTAGTAGATAATGATACATGTACTTTTTGTAAAAATACCTCAGAGGACATATCGCATGTATTTCTTACTTTGATTTAGTTAAAACTTTGGGCAAAATGTAGAACAATTTCTAAATACCCACCTCCAGTGTAATGTCACATTTACAAAATTCACCATCATGTTTGGAGTGTGCTCAAAAATACTAAATCATATTTTACTTCTTGACCAAAAGATTCATTTATGCTTCAAGTATTGAACAACATCAGTCACTATCTTTTAAGGGATTTCTTAAGTTATTAAAAGATATATGTACAACTGAAAAATATATAGCTAGGAAAACCAATAACTTAGATCCCTTTATTATGTTCTAAGCATTGAAGCGCTCTTATAATATCATTTGATATTTTCAGTCTCCACCCACTACAATCCCACTATTCAACCTTATTCCTTCTATTTTATATAATCTCTACAGAAACTTTAGTGATATCTTATGTATCTACACATTTGTTATAACCTTATAAAACCCCGATGATGTCATATATATTGTCTTTTATGTCATACGTAATTTATCTAAGAATTGATATGGAATACAAAAAAATTTTTAAAAATCTGAATTTTAGTGTCGTCCAGTATAAAGTTCTATATATCAAGTAATGTGTTCTTAGAGGATGACCCAGAGCCACCAAATCTGCGTTTAGCTCGTTTGAGGGTCCGTTTCCAGTTGTTCCCGAGCCGTGCGTATCACCCCAGGTTGTAGACGGCGTCCGAGAAACCTCACCCCAAGGATCCCTGCTGTTTCTTTGAAGGCACCAAACGCTTACCATAAATACCGAACACGCTATATTTCCCCACCTCCTTTTTTAGTGTCCCCATGTCTGTATTTTATAACCTTTGTTAAACTATGAATACACTTTTCCATGTAGAAAGAGGTCAAGTGTAATATATGTTATATTTGTGATTACACTTTCTTGTCAAAGTACAGATTTTAATACTTTTGTTGGGTTGAGTCCCATCTGGGATTGATATCACTGTACTGTCACCTGACAGTCTTGTCTGTCTCTCTAGTAAGTATTAAAATACAGTCTCTCAAAGGTTTTAACCGATTCATTTGATGGATGATTTCGTGGATGATTTTTAGGCTTCTTGTCCAGGTATACTTATGGCACCACCATCGACGTTAACATATTTGCTCCATATTAAAGCCCTTATAGCTAAATGCCTGAAGGTACTCGATTTGTTGAAAGTAGTTTCTCATTCAAATGGGAAAGGCGATCAATTGCTACAAAAATAAGTTGGTTTCCGGAACACTGAAACTAAGAAGAAACGACCTGGAAACCACAATTTCCAGTTGGTTTCCATGTAGTTTCCTATAGTTTCATTGTGGTTTCCATGAAAACTGAAACTGAATTTTGCACCATTTCCGGTTGGTTTCCAGTGCGATTCATTACCCACTCCTCCAAGCCGAATCCAGCTGGTTTCCATGTTTGCGTTTATTGTAGGTTTCAGCCTGGTTTCCGTGTTTTCGTTTACT